CCCACTACAGCGACCCGGAGGTGCTTGCTGACGTCAGCTGCGGCCTGGGCGAGGCTATGGTGGGGATCAACCTCAACGACGAGAAGGTGGAGAGGTATGCGAATAGGTCCGAGTGACCAAAGTGTTTGGATAATCATCCACCTTTTTAAAAGAAAATTTAAAATAATACATAGCTTGCTGCTGTTCTGTTGTTGTTTTCATTCTCAGGTACCAACCTTGTCTTGGTTTTGAAACAGTATTTATGTCTGTTTTTTATACTTTCAATATTTTCAATTGGGAATTTTGATGAATGTTTTATTTACTGTTTTTGTTTGCCTTCATGTATAGTGATGGTTTTTCTAGCATCTATGGTGGTAATATCCAATATTAGGGTAGAATACAATTTCTCATGGTTGGGTTGGGTCCAATAGGTTTTATGGAACCATGTAAATGATGGATATCACACTCTCACAGGGTTGGTTTTGTGAGTGTTAGTTGTAAAAGTCTTTGCTTTAGTTGGATAATTTCAACATCACATCATAAAAATGGAAAGCTTTATCCTTACATGTGGAAAGGTTGATCTTAGCCACTCACTGTTCCATGTGGTTTTAGCCGTCAGATTACTCACACTCACACATCCATATGGGTGTTATTGATCCGACGGTTAAAACCTCCCGTGAGAGAATTGCCCACGGTTCGGATGAAATTCACCCCGACATGTCCATAAGGTTTTTCACTTTTAACCACAAGATCATACACTCACATGTCTACGTCTTGCGGTGAAAAAGTATTATGTGATCATCATCTCTTTTCTCTGCTAGTTAGATGAAATTTTCTCCCATAGAATTAGTTGCTTGTCCTATTTTTTGAACAAAATAGTTATTTTTGAAATGTGGTGCTGCTTGTTCTTTGATGTAGTTGAACTTGAAGGCTTGAATCAGATGATTTAAAACATTATGAAACCTTTTTTTTATTGTACATCTCCAGAGGTACACAACTAATATATTAAATGGAGCAGGAGAATCTGGAAGTATTGAGAATAGTAGTACATTAATTTCTTGTCAACCCCCTGTCCTTTTATTCAACTTTTATTAAAAAGAATTGTGAATAGGTTAGTAAGAGTATACACGAATATAAAGAAGGAATTATCAATGTTGAGTATATGTTTATAGGATATTTTTACAACTTATCAGCAATATCAGAATGTTAGAATATGCATATGCATGAGCACAACTGTCAATATTTTACTCATCTTTTTTTTTTTACTCATCTTCTTTTTTTTTTTAATCGAAACGACAAATATGAGATGTAATCAAATAGAGTATAAACTGTAATCAAATGGTTACAAAGGATCATTCTAGACATAAAAAAAGGAATTGGTGGAGTCATTAACATAAGAGAAAGGAACAAACCTGCAAAGATCTCCCAAACAAGGGAGCTAAAATACTCCACTTATGGAGACTAAACTACCCAACACCGGGAGACATACTAAAATCGAAAAATGTAAACTACATTGTAAGCAGCGTTAACGTCACCGCTTCCCGATAGCCCAGATACTTGACAACCACCCAAAATGCCATCGATCTTAGAGCACAAGCCAACACACATAGAAGCTCTCAACCCTCAACGCAAGCCAATTTGCAGATCCAACGGTCTCAAACTTAAGAACTCCAGTTCTTCGAATGAACAAGTAAACAACAAATTTGACGATGAGGTAAAAATCAAGTCCAGATCTGCCAACAAGAGATAATCCATATAGAAAAGGAAAATGGACAACCCAAAACAGAAGAGGGCGAGGGAGACACGATCTCCATACGCTGGGAAGAAGCCCCGATAGATTTTTCTTTTTCTTCCGCCTAAAGAGAATGAAGAGAGAGAAAGAAAAATTGGGTCCCCCTTCAGTTCCTTTGATTTAGGTAGAAAGAAGACCTCTCGAAGTTATGTACATGTGCTTCAAATTATGGTAATTTCTTCTTTCTCTATAACTTATATGTTCCATATTACACCAACAATCATATTTTACTCCCGGGCAATCATATTTTACTCTCGGGCCTTTCTTCTTTCTCTGTGACCCTCCTTGGAATTACACAGATGACCAAGGGGTACAAGCACCCGCAAAACAAAAGCTCCATAATAGACACAATAATTCCATGGAGCAGACTGAAAACCAGACGAAGTTTGACTCAAGAAATAAAAAGGCAGAGAAACAAAAAAACAACACACACCTAAAAAACAACTAGAATAAGTCCCCTCCTAAACCTAGAAGACAAAAGCCACCCAAACCAACGCACGAGCCAAACTCTACAGTACAAAAGCCCAAGAAAGCAGCAGACCAAAACCCTAGACCGAAAACTGCGACTAAACTCGAGCCGCCTGGACATATCTGACGAGGAGGCGATTCTCGGTCCAGATCTGGCCTCCAAAAATTATCCACGCCGGAGAGGAAATGCACACACGTTTCTCTACATTTCCCAAAAAACATTTCGTATTAGAGCTAAGTTGAAGTTAAATTGGATTGTCAATGAAAGTTTGTTATAGCCTTGTAGAGTCCGGTTCAGTCACAGGTTGGGTATAACATATTTACTTTTACTATAAAATGTTACACATTTTGTGAGTTCATGTTATACTTTTATTAGAAAATATCATATATTGTCACACGTTGCGAGTAACATATTTTTTTGTACTAGAAAATGTAATATGCTTCAAATCAAGTTGGATAGTTATTTTACCTTATTTCATAAAAATATGATATTGTGCTATTAAAATATACATTTTTTTCTAATGTTTCATTAAGCTAATAATCATATTTTAAGTTTCTTACCATATATACATCCCTCGTGCCAACCTAATGTATTAAGAAAATTCACAACCAATATATTTTAATAAAACAATACATACTTACATTACTTAATGTCATTTTATTATGTTAATTTTTATATTGTGATATCTTACTATTCATATATATTAAAATAAGGATTGATTTGCACCGCAACTACTGTCTTACTTGCAAAAATCTTATTCTAAAGTTGAGCCAACAACCAATGGGGCAGCTCCTGTCCCACATTGGAGCCATTTGGGACAATCTCACATGGAACTGTCCTCCGTAACGAAGCCAACAGTTGACTCCTTAGCACTATTGATCAAATAAAACAAGAAACCTAGTGATATTCCAAAATTTAATATTTGGAGTTTTTGCATTACTATAGAAGATATTTGATGAATGGATGAGCATTCCATGAGGTGTACGTCCCTACACCTTATTAATACTAAAATCCCATTTTTGAGATGCAAACACTTTATTGTGATTGCAAATGCTTTTCATCAGCATTACCATTCATCACACATCACTTGTGGATGGCTCAACAGCTATCCAATGTCAAATGATATTGTTGTAGTTCTCTAAGAGTCACTGTCAATTGTGATAATAATAATAATTATTAATCATTTACACATTTCATTTAAAAAAGCAGCCACATAATGGAAAAAACAAATTGAACTTGAGTTGTCCATTTTGGACTTTCATGGTGAATTCATAATCATTTCCCAACAGTAAGCAAACAAAAGTAGGAAGTATGCAGGAAAGATTATAGTCGAAACACGAAAGACTCACAATGGACCTTCACATGATGCTCGGGAAGAACAAGCTCGGCCAAAAAGAGGACTTCCATCGGTAATATTACCTACTGCGAATATAGACGAGCAGGAACCGATTGTATCGTGCATACCTAGTCATCCGCTCATAAAATTAATGCATAGCTTTCAACTACTACTCAGCTATGCACCAAAATTGTGAGTGCTTTACAAGGATTAGGTCAGAGTTGTAGAGAGGAAAATTCGGGGTTTTGTTACACGCCAGCAACAAAATCTCAGCATGATAAATATTTCCTTCGCTTGTAGCACTTAATAACTCCCTCAGTTTTGTTTTCATCTGGTTTGTTATCAGTCACTCCTGAAGGGAACTCTAACACGATCTTGAGGTTCAAAGGCGAGCAGTTAGAGGGTTCCGATTGATTCACCTGTGCACGCACAATTAATTCACCACAAAAATTATGAGAAAAAATGTGCGGGTGAATAGACAGAAAGCCATTTTGTGAAAGGTTTGAGTAAGAGTGTACCACAATGGCCAAATGATCCGAGCAATTGCCATTTTCTCTGTCTGAAACTGCTGCAACTCTTAAGGGAAAAAAAAAAAATCGCATTGGTTTTTTGAGTAGATGTCTAAGAGCAAGCTAGGTAAGGAAAAAAATACATAGGTGGGATCATAATAGTTCTCAAAACTGATATGGCCAAATCTATGTCATATTTACAATACCCTTCCATTTGTACTCCATTCACGGCTTCTGTGGAACATGTTTGATGTCCCCCAATTGGCTAATTCTTGTTCTTTATCATACATAAGTCAATGCACACCACCAGTTACCACATAATACCTAATTTTTCATTTTTATCATAATGCAAAAAATCATTAGTTATTACGTATTCAGTTGCCACTCAAGAATTCATTCAACGGATTCTCTTTTTCATCTTTATACTTTTCTTGACCTAATTTTGAAACATAAAGTTGGGGCAAAGTGAATTTTACCCTGTAGATCCTCGCACCATAATATCGGTCTCTTCTACTACTTCCCCGTGAAAATCTTCAGAAGCTGTACTGTTTCCATTTAACTCAATGTTGACATTTTTGTTCACATGTTCACAACTTTCTGCCTGTGTTCCTGGGAAAATGAATGAAAATAGACGCTGTAACCTTTTCCTTTTTTCCTTTTTCTCTTTCACTCAACTCAAGACTCTAGTTCATAATTTGAAGAAGTAACATACCAGTAAGTAGGCTTGATGCTACTGGGGAAGGATTACTTGTCAGAGCTTTCTGGCAAAATATTGTCCCCTGGAAGTCTAAGAAGGTATAGTCCAGAAGCTTTAATCTTTCTGATTCATTCATCACGGAGAACCCAAATCCCATGGTCCAAGTGTTTAATACAGAAGGCACGGCTGGCAAAACAAACCTTTGCACTCCTAATTCAATGAGTTTCTACAAACCAAATTGGTAAACTCATTAGTGAATAATGCAAATTCTACAAAAAGTGTAGCCAATCCTAATATATGAAGAAAGCAACAAACCGATCAAATGCCATTATCACAAATCAAATAATTTTTATGCATCGACAGTAAAAAAAGGCCCAACCAGTAGAATAAAGTACTGATCAAAATGTCAGTCATTAAAATAGCAACTATACCGTCAGAAACCGAGTAGAGGATGGCAATAGAACCAAAAGTGGAGCAATTTACCCTAGAAAATTCCTCACTACACAAACTATCCTGGCAGATTTCTTAATCTGCTTAATGCTTCATTTCCACTATAATGCGTCATTTATCGATTAGCAAGGGCCAAGCCCATTAACATTTCAGTCGGCGGGTCTTGCATGCTTCAGGGTAAGAACGTGAACGAAATAAAAGGTAGAAAATAGGAAAGAAATTCAAAGCATCTAAATCGTATGACATGTGCACACCTTCTCAAGTTCTTCCATCAAAATCCGACACATCCCAAGTCGTCGATATTTAAAGCGTGTGGCAACCAAAGGGACTTCTGCCACTGCTTTGCCATATATTCTGCAGTAAGTAGGACATTTGGCTTCAATGTCGATTGAATAGTACAGAATATATCAGATGTAAAAGAAGAATATGAAAGCATATTAGACCTCACTGTAGCTGCAGATATCATTTCATCATTCTTCTCCAATAGTACTGTATAAAACCCTTGAAAGTTCAAACGCTTGAGCTCTGACCTGAAAATTAAATTAATATCATAACAAATAGGGCAACAAGAAATTCAGAATATAAACTATGAATGACCAAAACTAAAGACCGACTGCACAATACAACTAGGTCTCAACATTTCCAGCTCGATTTGATTAATCAAAACCCGACTCCAGTCAAAGTCAACAGCAGCCTATCTCCACAAAATAGTTGTTTATAATGCACATTATTAAATTGATGAAAAATGAATGATCTTTAAAAGGTGAAATGCAGAGAAAGCTAAAGAGTAACTGCATGATGTTAGCCAATCTTGAGTCTGACTTTCTAGTTTACGAATGAGAGGAAATATGAAATGTATCTACATAGTAGTAGATATACAAGAGAAACCCAATATGTAAAGTTGGCTTTTACAGGCTTTTTCCCGAATTTGACTTTTAGCAACTCCTACGCTCGAAGCAAAGATGTTGTCTAATTAGACCACGAATTACAAATGGCTGGAAAAGCTCTGTTCATGATCGACCTAGCCTCCAAAAATCTACCTTTTCTTTTATAAAATTCCAGTTGAAATCATCGATTAAGCAAATAAAAGAAGATTTCCTATATGAAGGACTATACGGCCAACATAGATTATGCCAAAGAACTACCACATCTGAAAAACTAAAGTCACTAGATACAATTTATCAAATGAATATAGAGATATCAGGAATAGAAAATTAATAACAAAAACCACCACACTCTGATGAACAAAAAAAGGAAGACAAAATATTTCCACAAGGTACATGGTACAAACTACATTGACGCTCTCAAATTATACACTGCAGAATAAGTTGAAAGTCATATTTCCATGCTCAAGATCTCACCATCTGCTGAAAATAACATCTTCCACCAGATCCCTCCTAGTGCCAGGCTCTTTGACAGGCTCAAAACATTCATGCATCACAGTCACAGCAATATTAAGCTTACTGTAATCTTCAATTAAATCCTCATCATCAGATGCATCATGATCATAAGATTTGGATTTTATGCATTTCATTAAAGTCCAGTTCAAATTTTCAGTCCCGACAGGAAATGATTTCCCCAGAATCTTGTGCAGACCACAAAATACCTGACAAAGGACACAAGGTCACATTCACATGATAATTTAAGTGGTAACTAAATGCTAATATACTTTATGAAGATGAACCATGCTTCTCATTCACCGAAGATACACCTTTTGTCAATGCTTCTGAACTTGTCATTTTACTTCAGCAAGATAATGCCAAAAGCTCAATATACCAAAGCCCACTAGACATCAAAATCATGCTCTATCTGGTAGCAAATGCCTGGTTATTGAGTGTTGTATTAATGGTAAAGCTAGTTAAGCTACCTGTTCACATGTATCTCCGCAGAACCAATATCCTTTACGACTGCGATCTTTACTCCCCTCTTTCCGAAGACACTCATCATGATCTACAAGAATTTATGAGAAAATTAGAGCATCTATAGAATTATATATATCTTAGTTATATCTGTATGAGTCGAAGATATAGTTACTTACATCTGTGCTCACATTGACAACAAATGCGAACAGAAGTGTCCCTGTCTTGTCCATTTGTTTCTTCGAGTGTGTTCTGGCCACAAATTTGACAACAACACGAGCGGCAGAACCAATCACCTTCAGGAACCTCCTGTAGAAAAGTAAGGCAATCAAAAGGAAAAGGTTCTTCATTATAACGACTTATAAAAGGAAAATTGCCTACTAATATGAAGTCAAAAGACAAAAAGAACAGTGATAGCGTGATTTTTAATAGTGACACGAAAACAGAAGTGAATACCTTTAGACCAAGGCATTGAGTATGGAATGAGGATGGACACTGGTCACACAAGACCAATTCACCTCCATAGTGACAGACAGAACATATGTAGTCGTTTGTTTTACTGTGTTTACGTTTCTTCACTGCTCGTGACTCTGACCTCCAAAATCTGATTGTGTTGTGTTTTTTCAGCTGCAACTGACACTGCAGCAAAGACCTCCCATCTTCCAAGAAAATATGTGCTGATGGTCTGTGGTTAGTGCTACCAGCATGACTTTCAAATTTACAAAGAGAAAAGATTCCTCCGCAGCAATTACATCTGATCCCTTCACGAGCTATCCGGCCTTCAGCTAATGGAGGGCCATTCTTCTTATTATGATAATAAACACTTGTTCTTGGCAGAACAACATTATTGTCAATCAACCAAGACAAGATAGTTCGAGGAGTTTGTTGAGAAGACGATGCAATTTTGTCCCTAACTCTTTTACTTGATCGTCGACCTTGGGTTGGAGAATCAGCACTCATGGAGCTACTTACATTCATTGAACCACAAGATTTCCTTCGTCTCTTGGACAACTCTGAGCCACTAATGCAACGTGATTTACCAGGTTTTCTCTTCTTCCTCGAAATTCTGGTTTTATAAACTTCGCCATCAACTGACGGAACAAGTGCTTTCAACATTGAGATTTCAGAGGACTCATTTGACAGATTCAAAGGTTTCTCATTGACTGAACGAAATTTTCCTACAGACTCCTCAGGGACCAATGGAAGAATATTCTCATTTACCATTCTCCCTATGGTAGGAGACAGCTCACTTGAAGACAGAGCATTAGTTTTAATACACCAGTCGCATACTGAAATAAGGGAGTAATACAATACACCACTCGGTGAGACATATCGTGTTTCCTTCTTGTTTCCTTTCATGTGGTAATAGAATGACCACCCAATCGCAGATAAGTGCTTCTTTGCTTTCAGGGCTATCAACTTGGAGTTCATATCTGAGCCACCACTTCTTTGGTATATTGAATAGTAATCTCTCACTGCCTCAGGACAATAATCGGGCTCGAAGACAGGCCTATCAAGAGTGTTTCCCTTAATGAGTTTACTGGAAGCAAGGGATTTTCTAGACGGTGGAGGTACATCCGTTTCTTCAGATAAACACAAAGAACTTTTCTGGCCAATATTTGTGCTCATAATCATTGAAGATCCAGGTTCCAAGTCCTGAGATGCCCAGTCGAACTTCATACAAACCTTAGCCAGTGAATTAAATAATTTCCCCTCAGGAGAATAATACCGGAATCTAGACACTAGCTTATCTGTAAAATACTCAATTTTCCAACCCAAATGCAACAGATGTTTTCTAGCATTCAGTGTTAGCTTCTTTCGAGGCCTTTTATTCGATCTAAATAACTTCCTACACTCATAAAGAGCATCAGGGCAAAACTCAGCTCCAGGTACCTTCTTGGGTACGCATGACCTCCAGCCAGGTGTCTTTTTCCGTGTTGAATGTCTTTCTTTGAGTGAAGATTTCTTTCTTATAGCAGGAGCTTCTTTGTTATTACCACAACCAGTTACATAATCTTCATTTGCATTATGACACGGAACTGGCGAACGAATGTTCGGTCCGGATACAGTTAGCTCATTGGTGGGCATGATTGAGATGAGACCTTCATCATTCTGTTCTGGGACCTTCTCACTGCTTTTCAGATCATTATGTAGAGTTCCTTCATTAGCAGCGTACTGGAAAGTAGCTTCAAGGGGTACAACGGAGAGCGAACCAGGCAAAAGTCCTCCAGCTTTCAGAACCACATCCAAAGCAGACTCAGAAAATTCCAGCAAAGGTTGCCCAAGCTCCTCCACATTCCAGGAAGAATTCAACTCTGAGAAGAGCTGCTCGATAGTGATCCTTAAATTTTCATACAAAACCTGCAACACCAGTTCTCTCCAAATATACTTTCCAGAAGAAGTCCATTCCATAACCTTTTGAAAATCATTCTTCATCCTTACTTCATACCAAATTTGCTTCACAGATACAGGCAGCGGCCAGTCCTTCTCAACTTCCTCTATGAGTTCAAGAAACAACCAATTTCCACGAAGTTTCCACTCCCCAGTAATCTCATCCCAATCTTTACTTAACCGCAACATGTCTATCTGGGCCACCATTTCATCACCCATGTCAGGAAAGAAAACCCTTCTTTGTTCACGTCCGTCTTCATGATCAATTATGACACCTTCCCACCAAGCATCCTCATACAAAAGGTCAACACATTGTCCATAGTGCAGATGCCATTGCCTCAGAGCATCCAAAGGCTGCAAAGGCCTTATCAAGCCCCGGTAGTTTTCAGACACCAAAATGTCATCAACGGCAGCACCATCAATTATAGGACTCACCTTCACCCGATCGGTCAAATTAGAATAACCCCCGTCATCGAGAAGGTGATCGTATTGGACTACACGAGCCAAATCTTCACAACCAATTATTCTACCACTGTGCCATGAACCCAGAAATCCCTCTTCCACACTCCTCACCTGTACAAAATTCCACACGGGTAAGACATTCTATTTGAGAATTTCCCAGGATAGAAACAAATTAACGTGGGACTCTTTATCAGCAATCAAGAAGGGAAAGGAGAAAATACAGACAACTTCTTGGTGCAGGATGTTTACAATACAACAACAACCCATAACAGAGGTAAAATTACCTCAACTTTTTCATTAAGGAGAAGCTTTCTGTGCTGGTTCGCAGTCGCCATTGGAGATGAAGGACCCGATTGCATGGCTCAAAAAAAAAAAAAAAATTGAAAAATCGGGGGTTTTTCAGAATTTGTCGTAAAAACACATTCTACCAGGGATCATCTATATGAAAAATCTTCAAAAGATGCAGGGCTTTTCACAATATTTAATTACTTTGAGGGTTTTAGTCTAGAAACTGCGGCGGCAGGAAATGGCAGTGTGCTCGGCGGATGAACAAAGAGAGGTGAAAGAGGACCGCTTTATGATTGTGAGTAGGAAATTGTACGGCAAACATGGGGGTTTTATGTTGTGCGCAACTGTTTGAGTCTATAATATATTATTATTACTTAATAAATATAATATAACTTATTTAGTTTTAGTATAATATAAAACCTCTCTTCCTCTAAAACCCCCATATCTCCTTCCCCCAAGACTCCCTTTTTTCCATCCTGCGCCTCTTCTCAGTCGGGCTGCTGCTCGGCCTGGCGGCAGGTGTCATCGCACCGTGCAGCTCCTCCCACCCCTCCCCAACGTAGAATTTTTACGCACTCTTCGATCGTCTTCGAATGTTGAAGGTTTTGTTGGTGTCTAGAAGAAGATTATGGTCGTCTCGTGCGGTTTCAGGTTTCAGCTAGCCGTGGCTATACTGGAGTTGTGGTTTGATACTTGGGCCGGAGTCCTATTCGAGTAGGTGATTGTCTCCCGGAGTCGAGTAGCGGTTTGATGCGGTTTGTTTGTTGACTGAGATGAGATTGATATTATATTATCTGGTATTTTGTGTTGTGTTTGTGTTTTTATTTTTTAGCAATGTTGTTACTTGTTGCTGGTGTTTTTATTGTGCTTAGTAGGTGTTTTAGTCTCCTGTTGCAGGAGTTGTAGTCTCCCTTGGTGGAAGTTTCTTATTTCATTTGTTTTGTACGTGTGTTGGATTAGTTTTCTAGGCTCCCGTCGTGGCGTCGGGTGAGGAAAATCGAGCTGAAATTAGAAAACTAAATGAATCAATGTATTCGGTGTAGTTCGATTTGGTTTTTAAGGGTTCGATTTTCGGTGCAATTAAAATTTAAAAAAACCATAAAAGATTCGGTGTGGCGTTCGACAGGTGCGATTTTTACCGAACCCCACCCAAGGTGTTAAAATGCAATTTATTTGTACTGTAAAGCCATAGCTTATGCACGGAGACAAGCTTTGCTTTTCACTTTTGGGTTTTGGGTTTTGGGTTGGGACCTTTGAACCATTTGGCCATTACAAATTAAAAAAACAATTTACAATTAACAATTTTTTTTTTTTTTTTTT